ACAAAAGTTTAAAAACAATGAAGACAAATATAGGAAAAAGAAAATGAATCATACTTAAAGCTGAGAACAATGAAGAAAGAGATCTAGGAGAAATAGTAAAAATCACATGAAGATATTACACAGACCTATACAGTTCTAAAAATGACCCACCACTATCATCTAAACAGAATCTCACGAGGAAAATACAAAGTTGGCTCAGAGGTATTACCAGAAATAACTGAAGATGAAATCGAACAATCCATAAACGACATGAAAAGAAATAAAGCGGTCGGTGAGGATAAAATACTGGCGGAACTGCTAAAAGAAGGAGGAGACACGATAAAAAAAATGCTAAAAATACTGTTCAACAAATGTCTGTTTGAAGGTAAAATACCCAAACAATGGAGAAATGCCAACACAATCTTAATACATAAGAAAGGAGACCGAACAGACCTAAACAACTACCGTCCTATTTCCCTTTTGTCACAACTATATAAAACCTTCACAAGAATAATAAACAACCGACTAACCTGTAAACTTGATAACTACCAACCAGTGGAACAGGCCGGATTCAGAAAAGGATACAGCACAATCGACCATCTACATACGCTTAAAATCTTAATTGAGAAAACCAATGAATACAACCTTCCGCTGTACTTAGCATTCGTAGATTATGAAAAGGCTTTCGACAGCATTAAACACTGGGCGGTTAAAGAAGCTCTGGTCAATAGTAGAATAGATTCAAGATACCGACAATTGATACATGATATTTACCAAAACGCAACTATGACCGTAATTATGGACGACAAATTAATAACGGATAATATAAAAGTTAAACGAGGAGTCGGACAAGGCGATAAAATTTCACCTAAACTGTTTACCTTGACCCTCGAAGACATAATAAAATCAACAGATTGGGAAAACAGAGGAATATGTATTAACGGAAAATACCTAAATCACCTTAGATATGCGGATGATATACTCCTGATCTCCTCGGAACAACAAGAACTGGAATTAATGCTGAATGAACTTCATGAAAAATCACTGCAAAAAGGCCTAAAAATTAACTTCAACAAAACAAAAGTAATGACAAACACGGAAGACCAAGAGGCAATACAAATAAAAACAGAAAAAATAGAACAGGTAAATGAGTATATCTATCTAGGACAAGCAATCAGAGCTAATAGAGAAAATCAAACAGCCGAAATATCGAGACGAGTTAGAATGGGATGGGCAGCGTTCGGCAAACTTTCTTACGTTCTAAAAAATCAAACAATCCCTCTATACTTACGAAGCAAGGTATATAACTCCTGTATCATACCGGTGCTCACCTACGGAGCACAGATATGGACATTTACACAGGCCAATTTGGATAGGATAAGGAAGGCACAAAGAGCGATGGAAAGACAAATGTTGGGTGTATCACTTAGAGATAGAAAACGTAACCAGTGGATCAGAACCAGAACAAAGACAGTAGACGCGATAGAACAAGCAGCAAAACTAAAATGGAAATGGGCTGGACACAGTGAACGCGTCCAAGACGGATGATGGAACAATGCCATCGGAAAGTGGCGTCCATACAATGCAAAGAGATCCAGAGGCAGACCACAGATGAGGTGGAAAGATGACATCAGGAAACAAGGAGGTCCCACATGGCAGAGAACAGCTCAAGATAGGGAAAGATGGAGAGAACTGGAGGAGACCTATATCCAACAATGGAAGGATAGAGAATAGGTTAAAAAAATCCATCCTCAATTAGTTGTAGTAAATCTTCTAGAGATTCTGGTTGAGTAGCACAAATGTTTATTTTTAAATTCCCATATAAGATCCGGTGACCTAGGTGGCCAATCCATCATCTGTCCTCTTTTATCTATCCAACGACTGAGAAACGTTTCTTTTAAAAATTGTCGCACACGTAAAGCAAAAATCGTATGTGGAGGAGCACAATCATGTTGAGATACAACCAAATGTTCTACTGTTGTTTTTATACGATCAATCACTTGCCTAAGTAATTGAAGATACGATGCACCACTTAAGTTTCTAGTGATAAAGAAGGATCCGATTAATGTGATCACCTAGAATATCACACGATACGTTTAACCTCTGAGGATGTTGTGTGTGAAATTCATGCACAATATCTGAATCACTCTTAACATAATGTCGGCCATTATATCTGTTCACCAAGTCATTTATTGTAAATAAGCATTTATCTGAAAACCAAATATTGTTTAACAATAATTCTGGATTGCTAATGATGCATTGTGTGATTAGTTCACAAAATTCGAGACGACGAGCAAAATATTTTTTATTTAACTCTTGTACCAATTTAATTTTATGGGATAAAACTTAAAATTTTGGAGCACTTGAAAGGCTGTAGAAGATTACACACCAATTGCTCTGCTTATTTTGTGACAGTGATTGCTTAGCCTCTAAGTAAACTTGCCCTAAAACGGCTACTTGGATTGCTTCGGTATGTTTAAGTAACTGTCGGTTATGTTTTTTATTGCAAACTGACTCTATTGCTCTAAATGGTGTGTTTCAATAAAAATTATAGCAGCAGCTCTTGCACAGTTATTATTTTTGTAGTATAAACCTACAATTTTGATTCTTTCTTGCGAACTGTAAACCATTTAAGCGATCAAATTGCACACGTATAAAAATAGGCTCTTACAAGTTATAACAAATTGTCATTGGCTATTAACCGATTAAAATAAATAATATCGAAACCATTGTTAAAACTTTAATTAAAAGTGAAGTTTTGTGTTTTTTTGGTTTTTGAAGGAACTATAAATTGTACGGTTAATTATTTAAAAAGTTTAAATTATGCTAAAACCTATTGTGTTAATTAAGGTGAGAGAAAAACTATCTTGTTAAAAGAAAAATGGTCTATCTCATAAATTTATCACTTCAAGCCAAATGTGTTATACACCTTTGAAATCAGTACAAAAAGGAGGATCCAAATGTAAAATAAAAAAAGGAGGAAGTAATTAAAACAAAATCAAGGGATGATACGGAGGGTGATAGGGTGCATTTCTTAGCAACCTTAAATATTATTTAATGTCTCCCCTTCAAATACTTATTGACGTATTTTTTTGTTTTTCCTAAAAATAAGAAGTTCAAAAGTTATTTTTATCTGAAAAGCACTGTATAGTTGTATAAAGAATACAACTTATAATAGCCTAGTCATCAAATGATTTTTAAAAAGGTCTATGATATATTCCCAATAAATATATATGCTCGAACCAAATTAATTCTATAATTAACTATTTTATCATTTATAATAACTCTGCCTGGGGGTTATGAGCGCGAGGACTGGGTGGGTTGAATATAGTGAAGTCGTTTTACCCTGTCGTGTTTCGGATTAACGCCCGAAAAATAATTTATGACTCTAGTTACAGCCACTCTATCATGCTTTCCCTTTTCTACCTGCTTTGTGGTACCGAACATCCTACTGGTCGGCTGTAGAACTTGAGGATAAATAAGGAGAACCTCTAACTACCTGGGGCAAATCTAAACAGACGCTTTTATTACTTATGCGACAGGCTAAAACAATCCTACTTTAGTTTAGAATCCGCGTTCATGCCTACAGCCGGTCTCAAGCCCGGATAAAAGAGTAGGGTTGATGGGCCAGGTTAACATACTACCATTGTAAAAGAAAATAAGGCTCAAAGAACCGATATAAAACCTCGGAACTTGATGGAACCTAAGATGACGAACTACGCAAAGAAAAGGAAAATGAGAAGAACAATTAAGCCCACAATCAGATGGATCATGGAACATGACTTCTGTGTGAAAACAAAGACCTTTGTGCAATCTAAGAAACCAAGAAGAAAGGTAAACGCCAAAGAGACAATAACCAATATTTTGAGCATAAGTATACTTGTCCATAAAAACTTTAACGACAACATAATTAATTATTAATTATTTATTATTTAATATTGCTCCAGGAGTGACAAGGTACACATGTGCATGATTTTTGCATTTTAAAAATTGATCTGATGCATTTTTTTCTGACAGAGTTATAAAGCAAATTATAAAAATAAGACCAACATGGAAGGATAGCGTGTTTTTGCAACTAATTGGAAAGACTTGGATAAATTTAGTTTACAAGCATACATTAGTCTTTTATTGTTAGCTTGTGTTTTTAAGTCCCATGGCAAATCAACTAAAAGTTTGTCGAATGAAGAAACGGCTCGTAGTGTATTTCAAGCAACAATGTCCCTGGAACTATTACAAAAATTTCGACAGTAATACGTTTTCATAACAAGACTACTGGTCAGGATAGAAGACGTACTGACAAACTTGCTGCAATAAGTGAAATTTGGAAGAAATGGGTAGAATATGTACCAACATTTGTTAACCCTGATAAAAATGTTACCTTTAGAGGCCTTTAGAGGCAGCTGTCCCTTCAAACAGTATATTTCAAGAAAACCAGAAAAATATGGCATAAAAATTTGGGCTTTATGTGATTTCGTAGACATGTGTCTTCGTGACTATGTAGACAGTAATACTTCGTATACTTTAAAATTGCAAATCTATACAGGAAAGGAAGCAGGTGTCAGGGAATGCGTGGGGTGTGCGACTTGTGTAGTGATTGGAAATGCCACAATATTACCTGTGATAACTTTTTTACATTAAACAATTTAGGACAACTTCGTGTAAAAAGAAAAATACAATGCTGGGGACTATAAGAAAAAATAAGCCAGAGCTTTCAGCACAAAATGCAAATAAAGAAGTTATTACTTTATTTTTTTACTTTACTTCATGTTTTTATTCTAAATAAACATTGGTAGATCAGTAATTAATAATAAAATTAATAATGAACCCAGATAAGTACCTTGACCTCCGCCTGACAAACTGTTATTTTAACCAAAAATGTTATCTTACTAAACATTGACTTAATCTATTGCAGTTAAAGTATACTACTACATGCATGCAGAGAATACGCTGACAATCACAGGAAGTATGATTTCTAACCATTTAATAATGTAACATAGTAAACGTCAATTAAACTACCTTACCTACTAATGTCAAATTAACCTGGTAATTTCTTGTCGGCGAATTGACAAAATCTACCCGGCATCTAAAGACTCCTTGGTCGTGCATATTTACATTTTGTATCCTAAGTCGAGCTTTCGATGGTTCATCTTCAGTTATAAAATAACTTCGCGAACCCAAGTCATCGCTCATAGCCAAGTGAGACGCTTTATCGATGGGACCATCTCTTGCGTCCAAACTAAAAAAAAAAGAAGTTTTTAATAATATTTATTAATTTTGATATAATATTAAATTTAATAAAGTCACATAAATACTACAGTAAGAATGCAACGCAGTTATGGAATTCCCGTAGAAACACGTAAAATTGTTAATATAGTTCAGAAAGAAAAATCCAAAATATCCAGACAATAAATCATTTAGTTCATTAGTTATATCTTGTTTCAGTAGAAATATAAACAACTAATAATAAATCTTCTAAATGTTATATCTTAAAACAAGAAAATCAAACACCTTAAACATACTGAAACTGACCTAATATAACTTTAATCGTTTTTGGCCAGTTGTGATATCTTTCTTCGATTTTAGATATTAAAAAATTAATATTTAAAATTGAGTTTTGGACTATCCGAAATTCCACATGCCGTGCGTCGTCTAGTAATATTATCTTGGTGAATCTTATCATCTGTGTTAGTTTATATCTTTGAAACTGTACGTAAATATACAAGTATTTTTTTTTTCACTTTAAAGCAATAAGAAAACCCCCTTCTTCTTCTAGCGCCATCTCCACTAATAAAGGTTGGCTATAACCATTGCAAACTCATCTCTATCTTCTGCTTTTTTAAGAGCGTCTGTGTGTTTAACCCGCCCCAGTCGCGAATGTTTTTCAGCCAGTATATTTGTCGTCTATCAGGACCGCTTTTTCCTTCGATTTTACCCTTTATAAATAATATGATCGGTCCATGGTATCTTCAAACTTCTCCTAAAAAGTCACATCTCAAAAACTTACAGTTTTCTTATTAAGTCAGCATTAAGAGTTTAGGCTTTGACACCATAAAGAAGAATAGAGTGGATATAACATTTTACCATCCGATATCGAATTTGCAGATTGAGTCTTTGATTACTCAGAAATGTCCTTATCTTCAAAAAGGCTGCTCTTGATTGCTGTATTCTTGAGCGAATTTCCGATTTCGGATTTAGATTTTCCGTAATCCAGATTTCTAAGTATTTCATTTTGTCCACTTGCTTAAGATCTTCATTTTTTATCTGGATCCTTGTAATGATTTTGCTCCTCTTACTGATAACCATGATGTTTGTTTTCTTTATGATTATTGTTAAACCAAACTGTTCCCCATTATCACAAATTGTGATACTGGGGAACACTGTCTCACTTTCAGCGATATTGTCTATATCGTCAGCAAAACGGATGTTATTTATATTTTCACCAGTTATCTTAACTGGTGAAAAATTTGACGTTTTTTTTTTTCACAATAAAATAATAATTATGTACAGACGACTAACGTAGTAGTATCTAGTAGGTAGACACTTTAATTTAAAAAAAAACTATTTAATAAAACCACTTGTTTTTATTAAAAACTAGGAGTACAATATCAGTACAACTTAACTAGACTTTGCCAGGGCCAGTCTCATAGACAGATATTAAACAATAGTTTTGAAAATATACAGCCCTGTTATACCTAATCTATCTAAGCTATTTATCTTGAAATTGGCGATTTGGTTGTAATAAAAGTTTGCTATAATACTGATATCTCTAGTATTTAGTTATTTTTCTTTTAGAAAGTTTACTGGTTATTTATGTTAAGCTTGTCAAATGCTTTTTTATAGCCCACGAAGATAAGGCACAGATTTTTGTTAACAACTAGGCAGCATTGAATTAGCCAGACTATACTAATAGATCCTCTCTTGTATCAACTTCATTAAGGAATCCAAACTGTATCTTACTTATGTCATTATCCAATTTTTTAGGATCATATGGAGATTACACGCTTATGCATTACTTTTAAGATCAATTTTAGCGAACAATTTATGGCTCGCAAGTATATGTTTATAATTTGATAATAATAATAATAGTCCTACGTTTATATTAACAAAGTTATATCTAGAAGTAACCCACTTTATATTAGAAATAAACGATTTTTCATATTTGGCATGAGGAATACGTGCAATAACAGAAATTTTTTGACATAAATATTTATGAAACATTTTAATAGCAACATTTTCGCTGTAGGCGCCAGGATTTCCAACCAATAATTTAAATTTTTGTGGTCGGTATTCCTGGCATTTAACCCACTATATGCACACTTTTAATTAACCTGTGAGCAATTAGTCTGATGTGTTATTATTAGCCTATATCATCTCAATATTGGGACCCTTTGTAGTTAGTAATTTATCAGGTTTGGATAATTTAGATGTGCTTGCTAAAAACAGAAATGACAGTTAAAAAAAACTGTTATGTACCAAAATCGAATTTGTTGGGTGTGTCCTTTGAAGTTTTGAAGTTTATTAATTGCAAATTTGTCTGAATATGTTTCCTAGTAATTTAAAAATTGTTTTTTAACCCGGCATTACAAGCGCCAAAAAATCTACGTTGTTACACGCGCACGGTCAAATCGACTGTAAACATTGTTTTGGTTTTAATTAATAAAAAAACAAAGAAAAACTTAAATATAAACCAAACATTTTTTGATGTAAGGTTGAATGCTCGAATAAATGAACTTTGATAAAATGAAAGGCAGATATCGAGCATAGTTTATTAATTAAATATTGCCCAAGTAATTCCGCTCCTAGATCATCTTCAACGGTACCTGAAATAAGCCAAGAAACGTTTTTTCAACTGAAGAAAATTATTGAGTTTAATAAAAGAAAAGTTGATGGTAGATAAAAGTTTTTTATATAATATGACGTTTTAGACGTGTTTCGTCAAATTTGGCCTATCCAACAATCTGTTGAGAATGGCATAAACATAAAGTTGTACGTTACACTAGACGACATAAGGACAAACAGTTTCAAATTTTTAAAAAACGGCGAAGGTACATATTGATTGGAAGCAGGAGAGAGAATGCCTCCTGGTATTAACGGAAATCTTAAGGTGACTTGTGACATCTGACAGCTTGGACGGGTAGTCACAATGATGGTGATTCTATTCTATAAAATTAAGCATTGACCAAAGGTCCAACTGTCACTACTATAGGAAATCAACTAATAAAGAATAAAATTATATAGAATATTTTAAGTAGCTTTCATAATCCAGATCTCACTCATAAACAATGCAACAGCAATGGTAATGCACTAGTAAAATGGGCGGAGGACGAACATCTATCACTAAAGTTTGACGCCAAAGACCGACCTACATTCATGTCAGCAGCATGGAAAAAGGAGTACAATCCTGACCTATGTTTTGTCTCTACCAATAAAAACGGACAACCTCCATCAATATTTTGAAAAGTAATGGACGACTTCCCACACAGCCAACACCGCCCAGTGATCTTCTATATATTCCTATAATCACATCCATCCCTCACCCACGTTGGAATCTAAAGAAAGCCATTTGGGGTAGCTTTTCTGCGGAACTGGACAAGACTCTAGGCTGGATACCCCCTACCATCAGAAATTACAAAAGATTTGGAGCCGTTGGAGCTGTAATAAGCACGGCCAAAAATCATATACCAAGAGGCTACTGAAATGAATACATTCCTGGTTGGTCCCATAACAGCGAAGAACTGTACCAAACTTTCCTTGAAAGCGGCTATCAAGAATTAGCCGATGAACTGCTCCATACCCTAGATTCAGCGAGATAACAAAAATGGACGAAAACTGTAAAAAGTCTTAATTTTCAATCATTAAGTAGGCAAGCATGGACACTACTAAGAGAATTAGGAAGCGGAACTCCCATAACAAGGAACAAAACAACAATTAACCCAAATACTATTGCCTCACATCTGGTATCGACATCTGGGGCTCCGAAAGACAAAGCTAAAACGAGAGCTCAAAACTTAAAAATTCCAATCTGCAGAAACTGAATACTCTTGACCTTTCACTTGCGAAGAAGTCACTATAGCTCTCAAGGATGTAAAATACTAGAACGACTTATTTATAACAGAATTAGTCCAAAGCTATTTGAATCGATACCGGTTGATCAAGCAGGTTTCCGACATTTATTGAGGCAGGGTTCCAGAGAAAACTTACAACTGCAGCCGCATTCATAGACCTAACAGCAGCCTACGTTACAGTCTGGAGAGAAGGCATGATATACCAGCTCCTCCGTATCATCTTCTGTAAATCCACCGCTCGAATAATCAACAACATGCTAGCCGACCGAACGATTCAAGTAGTCATGGGAACCGGCATCAGCACCCCAAGAAAACTAAAGAATGGACTGCCTCAGGTATCTGTCCTAGCTCCTCTTCTCTTTAGCCTGTACGTACATCTCTGATATACCAGAAACCAGATCAAGGAAGTTTGGTTACGCCGATGACTGGGTCCTTGCAACAAGGTTTTGAATTGAACAAACAGAAGAAATCCTAACAGCAGACTTACACACAGTGGTAAAGTATTTCCGTAAATGGAGGCTCCAACCAGCGCTACCAAAACAGAGGTTTCTAGTTTTCACCTAACTAACAAGCTTGCAGAAAGAACACTGAACGTACAATTCGACACCACACTGGCCTACAATAAAATACCAAAGTACCTTGGGGTGACTCTTGAGAGAACTCTATCTTTCAAGGAATATCTGTCAAAAACAGCGCAAAAACTTAAATCCAGAAACAACATCATCCAGAAGCTGTGCGGCACAATATGGGGAGCATCGGCTATCACCTTGCGATCATCTGCCCTAAGCCTTGTTTTCTCAACCACGAAATACTGCTTTTCAGACTGGCTTAACAGCCCACATACACACAAAGTAGATGCCCAATTGAATAACACAATGAGAATGATTGCTGGTGTTATTAAATCCACCCCTACTCAATGGCTCCCAGTCCTGAGACACATTCCACCACCCAGACTACGGCGTATACACTCCCTCACTAGTGAGTACTAAAAGATACTTAGCAACGAGACCCTGTCAATTCATCAAGATATAGATGCGGCCAACGATAACCGTTTGCGCTCCAGGCTACCGCCAAAAAAACAACACAGATTGCAGTGGAAAATGAGTTCAACTTAATGACCACTTAGACTCGAGAATGGATGGAACAACAAAATAGCAGCTTACCCTGCATT